TTTCTCTCTGCACCTGGAGTGTGAGATTGTTAGCAAATTCTCACAATAGATTTTTGAGTGCAAGGACACCTCGAGTAGTCCTTCCGTCTGTGAACCTGGCCGCCTTCCGGAACACATTCGTTTATGCATTTGTGTTTATGTTGGATGGCCTGAGATTGGAAAATAAAATAGAAGTAAATGACTGTTTCAAGCATTAATGCACTTGGCATGTGCATTGTTCTTTTCTCTTTTTTTTTTTTTTTTTGAACCAACACGGAATGTTTCACGTTCTTTTCCTTTTAATCCACGGGTCTGTCAAAAAAAAAAAAACCTACGCATCTCGGGCATGGGCCAGCAACGGCCATGGGGAAAAAAAAAAAAAAAAAAAAAAAAAAAAAAAAAAAGAGAGGCTATATCTCGTGTGGAAAAAAAAAAAAGAGGGGAGGGGGAAAAAAATAAAAAAAAATAAAATCGAAATTCCTTACCAAACTAGGCTACCAGCCGGGCCGCCGGGGTCACTTTGTTTGCCCGGGCGCCCCGGTCGTGCAAGGACCACAGAAGGTCCCAGCGAAAAAAAGAAAAAAAAAAGAAACTGCCAAAGTTCTGCAAAAAATTATGTTATCCATTTTGGATAAGACTGTTGTGGCAGTGTTGTTCTTTTTTTTTCGTTCTTTTTTTTTTTTTTGTTCGGGGAAATGTGAGCCATCCATTTTATCCCTTGTGGATAAGGCTGTTGTCAGTTTTCTGATTTTTTAAATTTATTATTATTTTTTTTTTTTCTAGGGGAAACGTGAGCCATCCATTTTATCCATTGTGGATAAGACTTGTAAGTTTTCTGATTTTTTTTTTTTTGTCCGTATTTTTTGTTTTCTAGGGGAAACGTGAGCCATCCATTTTATCCATTGCGGATAAGACTGCTGTCAGTTTTCTCTGACTTGATGCGGGGAGGACTGACATTGACAACAGCCTGGAGCAAAAGTGTGAGAAGCCAACCGACGGTGCCGTCGCGGCCAATTCGCGACTATTTTTAGCATAACTATTCCTCATCCTTTACTACATGTGCGATTGGCGGGGCCAACCAGTGTTTTTGTCGTTTAGTGTCCTTTGTGAGTAGCCGATGACGGTGGCATTGCGACCGAGCTGCGGTTATTTTTAGGATAATTGTTCCTATTCCTTTACTCGGTCGATTGGCGGGGGCACCTGGTGTTTGTCGTTTAGTGTCCGTCCTCTTTCTTCTATCCATTCAAATCCTAATGCACTGTCCCTACTCCTTCAATTGACGGGCACAATTGCAAAATAGTCCTTCAATTGAGGGGCACAATTGCAAAATAGTCCTTCAATTGAAGAGCGCAATTGCAAAATAGTCCTTCGACTGAG